AACAAATCCATCTTGTCCTTGACACATGCAGTCTCTAGTATATTAATACCTTGAACATGACAGAGATTCTCCTCCACTGGCCAAGCACTGCTGCTTCCCCTCCTGGGGGGCCAGCTGAGGGTGGAACTTGTGTATTTGTTTTAGCCATCATGTGCATCACAGAATGCTGAAGGGCCTGCTACCAAGAGAACATTTTAATTTGAAACAGCAAATATGCTCATCTTTAGAAACTAATCTACAGTAATTATAAATACCTACTTATATATGGAAGGGAGTGTGTGTACTGCTTTGTTTTTCCTTAAAGCTGTAACTAGAGATGATATGAAGTGAAAGTCATCCCTTATATAAGACTTCTGTTTAATATTATTGTGTGGTTAAAATCCTTCCATTATAAATTTGCACTTTTTTGATTCTTCCCTTGCATGTTCAGCTCTGATTTTTACATCTGTTCTCTGCAGACAGTAATGTATTTTTGTAAAACATTTTTGACACTGAATTGCAATAAATGTTCAAACAATGTGAACCGCAGAGCTGGTTGTCTCATTGCTTCCAAGCTGACCGTTCAGACTTAACGTTTCTGGTAACTATAGGTAGCAGAGGAACATCCAGATGCAGGAACATCCAGAACTTGGGTTGTTGTGGCAGTAGAAGAATATCCTGGATAGAGCTGTTGCTTCATTGGACCTTGAAACAGATTGAGGTGAATGGAGCCCTTACTTCTAGGAAAAACATTGCTGTTGTGGAGCTTGTGTTCTCTGGACACAGCACAGGAGTGATTATTGCCCCAAAAGAGTGCTCACTCTGGTCTGATAGCTTCAACTCTAACCTGTGGCTTATGGAAATGTTGTTTTTCATGGACATGTTATCCAAATTCCAAATTTTTATCTTTTTTTCAGTTACAATTGCATCCGGTTGGTCAGGACTGCAACAGGCTGACCCAGGCTCCTGCGCAGAGGGAATGCGAATAGGAACCTACTATAAGGACTCCCAGTAAATAGGGGGAACAGCAGATGAAAAGGCAAATGAAATGTTTCAGGTTGGAAGAGGAGAAGTTACCATGGTAAAACAGGATTGCTTGCCTGATAAAAGCTATGCCAGCTATGAAAATAAGCATGAAATGCAGATGGTTGGGGTTTAGTCTCATTTGCACTGTCAAGGAATGCTTGAGTGGTTTCATAGGTCTTTCTGTAGTATGCTATGCCTCAGGTTTAGAGTTGCACCCCCAAGACACAAAGCTGTGGAAACAATGGACAGTCTGCAAGATGATCAGAGCCTTTTAAACAAGGGGATGAGAGAGCTGTTAAGACATGTTTATTACACAAACTTCCTTGAAAATGTCCAATTCTATGTATTTTAATAGGCTCAATCGTTAAAGGGGAATACTTTCTAGGAATATGGTGGATGAGGTCTGTCTACAGTTCTCATATTCTCTGTGAATATGATAATTATATATAATTCTCTATATTCTTCTTCCCCTGAGAAGGCTGCATGGAGACCTCACAGAAGCCTTCCAGTAACTGAAGGGGGCCTATAAGGATGCTGGGGAGGGACTCTTCATTAGTGATTGTAGTGACAGGACAAGAAGTAACGGGTTAAAACTTAAAATAGGGGAAGTTTAGATTGGATATGAGGAAGAAGTTCTTTACTGTAAGGGTTGTGAGGCACTGGAAGGGGTTGCCCAAGGAAGCTGTGAATGCTCCATCCCTGGTGGTGTTCAAGGCCAGGTTGGACAGAGCCTTGGGTGGCATGGTTTGGTGTGAGGTGTCCCTGCCCATGGCAGGGGCATTGGGACTGAATGATCCTAAAGTCCTTTACAACCCTAACTATTCTATGATTTTTCCTACTTTCATGTTGTTGCTGTTAACCTCTCTACCTTCTAAGAGCACTTAGGGTAGCTGTTGAGGCAGCTGGAAGCATGGATGAGGTCACTGGATGGTTTGGGTTGAGAGGGACCTTAAAGATCATCCAGTTCCAACCTCTGCCACGGGCAGGGACATCTTCCACTAGACCAGGTTGCTCCAAGGCCTGTCCAGCCTGGCGTGTTCCACTTGGATCAATAACCAGTCACCCTGTGTAATTCCTTGAAGCATCCTCAATGCTTGGAGCCAAACAAAGGAGCAGAGTTTGGGCAAAAGGCATTTTGAAAAGCATACATCAAATACTAAGATCACAACTCTGCTTTGCCCCAGCTTTCCCCAGTTCTCAGTTCTGCTTCACAAGGGGCGTGGGGTGAACCCCTGTCAATCGTGTAGGGATTGCTTTATTTTTAACAAAACCTGAGCTGCTTCTGTCATCAAAATTGCAGGAATGGGAGAGCTGTTTTCTAAAAGGCTCTATAAATAGCTTGTGTGGGTTCAAAGGCCTTCCCTAAGCTGGAAAGAAATGAGTTCACCCCTTGCCATTCTCGATGTGCAATATGCTGTGCTTTTTAGTAGAAAACAAACAAACTAATATCTTTTTAATGTGTTTTCCTTGGATTGTTTCGGTCCTGCTCAGAACAGGCCTTGGATGCAGGAGGCAGCCCCAGCAGGTTTTGGGCCTGAGGTGGCAGAGATGATGTGGGGTGCTGCGGTCCTCCTGCAGCTGCTGGAGGGAAGGAGCCCACTGCCCTCTCCATACACAGGATAAACAACCACCCCTGGGGGGTTTGTGTCTGTGGAAGAGAAACACAGCCAGTGCAGGAAGTGCAAGTCCCTCCTCTTCACAGCATGGATTTCAACTGACTTTAACAGGGCTTTTGAGCACTGAGATAAGCTTGTTCTCACAGGCATATTATTTGTGAAGTACCTAAAAAGGTGTCTCTGCGGGTAATCAGTGATGGGAATGGTCTTTGTGACAAGTGACAGCCTAGAAGCCATCTCAGTCTCTGCCTGCTCCCAGGGCCAGGGTAGCTGCAGTTCTCCCTTCTCCTTGCTTTTCCCTCTGAAGCCTGTACTTTGTGAGGGATTCAGCTCATGCCACAGGCCAGGAACCTCTCCTTCCTCCCGCCCTGGTGCAGCATCTCGGCCCACAGGAAGACTGTCAGAGGAGGCTGTGCACCCATGAGGCCATGGCCAGGCTCAGCCTAGGGCCAGCATCCATCCCAACCACCATCCAGCTTGAACCCATTGGGTCTGGTCATGCCTGAAGAAGCACTTAAATGCTGTGGAGTTTGGGCCCTAACACACTGCAGCCAACATGAGGTGCCTCTTGGTACTGCTTTAACCCTTGGGATACAGGGCACCCTCCGCGGCTGGGGGACATTCTGTCCATGGGTCTCCCATCAGAACCTGGCCATGGTTTTCAACATGGGTTCTCTTCCATCCCAATCTTATTATAGCTTTCCCAGTGAAGTGAAATTTATTCTTTCTTTTTTGGATATAGCCGGAGGTGTAAATCCAGACAAATATAACTCATGAAGGGGGATCAATGTATCCCTGCTGCTTGTGTATATAGAGCAACCGGGAGCCTTTTTAAACCTCTGAAACTAAAGTTATTTTATTTGGGGTTTTTTTCCTTGCTTATAGACAATTAAATGGTTCTCCTTGAAAAGAGCTGGCTCCTGGTTGTAGGTAGAAACCTACAATCTTTCTCTTACCACACACTTTTATATATAAAGCCTCTATTTTTAACCCAATGGTGGGATTGAGGGTTAATGCTCGTTAGATCTGTGTCTAGACAGTTGTGAAAAACAGGAAATGAATTACATTATAGTACGAAGGGAGAATTTAACCTTTTCTCTCCTCGCAGACACATGAGACCGGGGAAAATATGTTGGTGCCGAAGGGTTTGGAAAGTTTAAGGAAGTAGAAAAATGAGAAGGGGAAAAAAAAGAAACAGAGCTGGGTTTCCACAAGGCCACGTGGGAATTGTTTCATAGAAAAGAATGAGCCAGGCTCTGCCCCCAGCTACACCCAGGCAGGAATTTGTTTCCTCCGCTCCCTGAGGAAAAGTCATATTTTGTTATTCCCTGCTTATGCTGAACGCTCAGGAGCTCAGAGCCAAGTGAACCACCTCATACACGTGTAGCTGTGAGAGAGCGGCCGCCATGCGGCACCCGTCCTCGGCACACGGAGCCAGGCAGAGCGGGTCTGGAACACCCCTGTGTGGAACAGCAGCACCTCGCACCCCTTCTGCTCAGGCTGCCAAAGGCCCCAGGGTCATTTCTTTGCTATTTACAAAGTTATTTATTCTTTATTTGAGTTAAGAGACTGCAAAAATGCAACATTCCCTCCGCTTGGCCCTTCTGGAAAGCAGGAGCCTGAGGGCTCGCTGACCCAGGCCCGCAGCACAGCGATGCTGCTCTGCTGCCAGCAGGGCAAGACCTGAGGTTTAAAGGAGTGTTGCAAAGAACCCAGGGCACAAATTAAGCCTGAACTATTGCAGGCAGCTGGTCTGCTTGGGAAGAGCTGAAAAGTGGAGGCCTGGTGCTCTTTACCCACTTATACCCCTTACCCCTGCAAAATGGCTGCTGTTGATGTGTTACACACCATGATCAAAAGCAATGCTACAAGCATAAATCAGAGAATCATAGAATTGTTTGGGTTGGAAAGGACCTTAAGATCATTCAGTTCCAACCCTCTGCCATAGGCAGGGATGCCTCACCCTAGACCATGTCACCCAGCATGTCCAACCTGGCCTTGAACACTGCCAGGGATGGAGCATTCTTTGGGCAACCCATCCCAGCGCCTCACCACCCTCACAGTAAAGAAGTTCCTCTTTATATCCAACCTGAAATTCCCCTATTTAAGTTTGAACCTGTTACCCCTTGTCCTGTCACTACAGTCCCTAATGAAGAGTCCCTCCCCAGCATCCTTATAGTCCCCCTTCAGATACTGGAATGCTGCTATGACATCTCCACGCACCCTTCTCCAGGCTGAACAGCCTCAGTTCTGCTTCAAGCTCTTTCCTCAGACCCCAGTGCCCCCAGTGATGTATTTTCAACCCTTTCTCAAGCTCTTCCCCTGTCCCCGGCACAAGCCATCAGCTGGGAGCCCAAGGAGGCTGCAGAGGCACCCAGCAAATGGCCAGCTCCATCCTCCACTGATGGCTGCATCTCCCTGTGCCCGCCTCTTCCCCCCTGCAGCCCTTCTCAGCTAGGCACTATTGCAAAGCCCCTCTTTATCTCATGCACAACTTGCCTCTCATCTGCAGCCCTTTGCTCGAGCCAAATGTTGACGCTCGCTGCACAGTCTGTCAGCGGGCCAGAATCTTTACTATCCCCATGGCAGAGCAACAAAGCCCTCCCAAGGATCCTGCTCAGCCCAGGGTCTGCCGCTCCTGCCCTCCAGGGACCCCGGCTGGCTTTGGTGGCTGCTGCGAGCACAGGGGAGAGGGATTAGGGCCTCCTCAGGACTGTTTGTTTGCTTCATTTTATCGTGGTTGCTTTTAATTTTGAAGGCCCATGAAGAGTACGAACCACTGGAATAATACTGTCATTAATTTTATGGCGTCTTCAGCACCGTCCAAAATGAGAAATAAAACCCAACAAACAAACAGCTCCCCTCGCAATGGAGCTATCTAAATAAAGTTTTTAAAGCAGGACAATATTTGCCTGTACGGCTGTCAATGTTTCCACTGCCAGTTTGTCTCCTGAAGGAACCAAGCTTTGGCATAGCTTTTATCAGGAAAAGATAACATCTTCCAATGTTTCCAAGGGGGTATGGGATGGGGGAGATGATGGGAGAGCAGTAATACACTGGCCTGAGAGCCTTAGAAAGGAAGGGACCTTGATCTAACCAGATTTACTTGGCCATGATTGTGGCAGCGAGGAGGGAGCAGAGCAGGAGCCTTCACATCACTTACACCCAGGTAGGCAGCAGCAGGCAAGGTGTGGGTCCTGCTCAGGAAGAGCCAACTGCTAACAGAGCAGTGAGGATATAATTTAACACAGCTCATTGCTAATGCTGAGGTGAGCTCAGCATGCTTAGGAACCCATACCCACTGCAGAGGAAGCCGTCTGTGTCTGTACACGTGGAGAGGCACGCAGACACGCGTGTGCAGCCATGCAGACACACAATAAAGATGTCTTTCAAAAGCTTCACTCTGTAGTGTAAGAAGGTCAACAGTTTTCTTGTCAGCAGCAGCTTTGCTGGAAGGAGAGGCTTTAGGCCACGGTTCATCCTGCGGCGGGGAAGGAATGTTTCTGTATTAATCATGAACCTGTTTCTCTTTTTCAGGCAGAATGTCTTCTGTCTGATGTAAGTACAGCCTGCTTGACAGTCTAACGCAGCCAGAAATGGTGTTTGATTTATGGAGGAGGTGGAAATCCAAATAGAAAAGGATACACATATTCTAAGGGTCCCTTCTCCATGAGCACATGTTACCCTTGAGGTCTCTTGGCACTGGAAACTGATGGAGGAACCCCAGAGCAACTCTTGCTGGTTGCTGTTGCACCCTCTCAGGTATCTCCCCCAGGAAGCCACCTTTACCTCCAGCCCATCCTCAGGTTACCAGATTAACTGCTTCAGTGGGATCTTGCATCCCACTTAATATTTAATCACCCTTTGCCCTCATTCTCTTCAGTTGGCAGTGAAACCCTAGCGAGCCTGCATGCCTCAGCACTGGGGTATTTCATTACAGAAAGCTCAAAACAAAGCTTCCACTTGCTAATCCAGCCGTGCTAATGTCTGTACCACTGCAGATCCATAGATCATTCCCCAAATGCCTTAAGCAACAGCAAGAAGTAGTTATAACATTATCTGAATTGTCTGGGAGTAGGCTCTACTGCACTATGCAGGCAGGGCAGAGGACCTTAGTGCAATGTCTCTCTCATTTCAGATGAGACCAAGTGACAGTGAAGATGGTAACGCCTCTTTTGGACCACATACATGTGCTTTTGTCACATGTTGGGCCTCAGATGTCCCCAGCACTGGACAACCTCCACATATGGGTTTTTGCCATAGACTCCACCTCCTAAACCAGGGCATTTGCTCGCTGAATGAGCACAAATAATCCCAATTTCTGAGGATTTCCATAAATCCAGCAAGTGGTAATGTCCTGCCACCTCCACCGCCTGCAGTGCTCTGCACAGCACCAGCAGCAGGGACACCATGATCCTGGCAAGGGCTGCGGATGCACCCGTGTGGCCAGGGCTGGGCTCAGCCATTCCACAGCCCTGGATTTCTGTGCAAGACCACAGCAAGCACCAGCAGGAAGGTCCCACTGGGGCTCTGCAGCTGCTGGCAGGGAGACTGCTGCACCCTGGCTCACTCAGCCTTTAGGGGGAGGCTGGGGCTTTGCTTCCATGCATGGATCCAACCTCTGCATGGTGTGAGCTCGGAGGGGCTGCCAGGACCATGGGAGGGTCTTCTCTACTGGGAATGATGCCCCTCACTTAGCATTTCAGGAACACCCAGCCTGGGGAGGTTTATTTAATACTTGTCAAACGAGTTAAATGAGAGCAAGGACTAAGGAAACTTCCCAGTAAAACACCTCTGACAAATACAGCACTGCAAATCCCCTCAAGTCCCTTCTTCCCACCTTTCTGCTGGGACCAAGGCAGGGGAAAGGCTGGATCCCTGCAGCACTGGGTATTTTGCATTTCCAGAGGGAGCTGCTTGTGCTCCGTTTATTTTGTAGCAGCTCCATGGAATGATGCATTTGCAAACAAGCCCTGGCCAGACGCATACCTTAGCATATTAAAAGGTATTTTTAGTCCCTCTGGCAGAGCAGATCAAACTCTGCTTTTAGCTGCACTAAGACAACTCTACGGACACTGCTGGCAGTGCTGCACGTTCATACCGAGGTAGCCGCTGGTAGAAGCTACTTGACTAAACAGTCCCATTTCCTTCACAGACAGCGCAGGGAAAGGCTGGTGGGATCCCTGCCTTCCACAGGGCTGTATATTTGTCCCTAGGAGCACGACTTTGCCTGACAAAAGTCTGAGCTGCTGGAGAGCGTCACGTACTGAGGAAAGAATACTCTGAACGTCGCCTCCTCGCTCCGCGATGACTTTGTTTTTGCGCTGGTATAAATAAAACTGTCACCATTTCATACAGCGAAGTGCTCTGTGATGAGCACCGTATAAATAGCCGAGCTGATTACACTGGCTATAAACAGGGACTGGAAACCCTTGCTTCACCCAGGCAGTGGAAGAGCTTTACAGCGAAACGGTTAAAAGCCGCAGCAGAACGTTTTCTCGGGATGGCTCCAAGTGCGGAGCTGGTGCGCTGCCATTTCAGCAGCCAAGCTGAGACGGTGGGAAGCACGCCACCACAATTGCATACTAAAGAGAAGGGAAGGCTGAGATAACTACCATCTTCTTGCTGTGTAGGCCGTTTAAAAAGGAATAACATATAATGATTCCTGCCTTATTGCAGTGTTTGGGTTCCAGATATAGCCTTGCATGGGAAGGCCAGCATGACACTGAACCAGGCCAAATGAGCATTTTCTGCTTTGAAGTAATATGATGTCAGGAACCCAGCTCATCGGAAATACCCTGCTCATGGCCCTCTGCACCAGCACCAGACACTTAAAGTGAGCTTCAGGTGAATAAGGCTGCTTCAGCTCAAGCTTTGTGAATGACAGTTCACAGCTTTGGTCCTTTGAACATTTATTATTATCACTATAAAATGAAGCTTGGTATGCCTCATGCCTAAGAAGTGGCTCAGCTCACTCAGAAACACAGGGACTTGCCAGAGGCCTTAGATAACCAAGTAAGATTTGGTTTAGCTGCCCTCAATATCCAAGGTATTTCCTACTGTAAGTATAAGGAAACACTGGGGATACTTAAGGAACCATATTTGTTTATCTTAGGTCAAACTGGAGAGATTTTCCAGAACCACTGGTGCAGCTGCACTTAACCTGTTGAAAGGCTGCATCTGTATGGACTGCTTCACTTCTCACTCCACAGTCACAAATGAAAGCCTTCACCTAGAGCTGAGCTCCACGGAAAGGGTGCAGGCAGGTGCTGAGCAAACCTGAGCAGATGTCTCCAGACACTCACTCTCTGGGTGTGCTCCATTAACCTTGGCCTCAACTGGGCCAGCTCTTGCATAAGGAGGGAGCCAGAAGGGAGAAGAAAATCACCACATTCCCTCCATCATATTTCTGAGTTTGTAATTACCAGATGTCCAGACGGGTTTCACCTCAAGAGCAGATGAAACACTATTCCCTGGTACAGCTTCGCAGGTCATTCAATCCACAGCTACGTTTGATGCAATATGGTAAGATTTGGACCAAAGTCATTCTAACAAAAGGGAAGTGGACCCCAGAGGTGGTGAATTCACAGTAGATGTTTGGAGAGCAACAGCGCTTCAGGGCATGCACGAAGCTCTGGCTGGATGATGACGGGGTGAGAAGTGGCCATGCAGGTCAAAATGTCCTGACTGGCACTGTCATACTGGACTCTGGTTCATACAGATGCACCCCAGTGTCTCTCTGCCTCCTTAGACTCATAGTTAGGGTTGGAAAGGACCTTAAGATATCTAGTTCCAACCCCCTGCCATGGGCAGGGACACCTCACACCTTGGCATGTCACCCAAGCCTCCTTCGCAGCACAGATCAGAGTGCAGTATCCCTGGTACAAAAATGTAACCTTTGAAGTCCATAAATTGACAGTGAAGCAGTTAGTATGATATTCTAAGGGTTTTCCCATTTCAGTAGGGATTGTGAATGCTGAACAGATCCCACAACACTGGTAGGTGTTTTGACACTGCTGCCGTATAGCCCTTGATGCACAGGATGGACTGGCTTTCACATTAGAGACTCAGGCAGCCAAGGGCAATACCTTGCCCGCAGCCTTGCAGATACAAATCACCTCTGCACTGAAGTCAGTGTAGCAGTGAAATAGTCAATGTAGTAGTGTAGTCACTGTAGCAGGTACCAGCAGGGCAGAGCAGGCAGGAGAGCAGCTCTGGCCAAGCGTCCCAAACCCGTCCACCGAATGCTGACTGCTCTCTCTGCTGGCCAGCTGAGAAATGGTATTTTCTCAAGACAGCTGCTCATACTGGTGAAAGCGCGCTGAGCAAGCAAATACATGCCAGGAAAAACAAGCTTTTTGTTTTCCTGAAGTCCCAAACAGGCAAACAGAAATGCTTAGTTATCAAATAACCTATATTATTAACTAAAAAGCAGCAGCATAGAAGAGGCAGGAGAGACGTGGATGTCCCACCTCATGTTGCAGGTTACGGCATCAATAGCCTGATGGACACAAGCACTACCCTAAGATACAAGGACATGGAACTGTTGGAACAAGTCCAGAGGAGGGCCACGAGGATGATCAGGGGACTGGAGCAGCTCCCATATGAAGACAGGGTGAGAAAGTTGGGGCTGTTCAGCCTGGAGAAGAGGAGGCTGCGTGGAGACCTCATAGCAGCCTCCCAGTATCTGAAGGCGGTTGAAAAGGATGCTGGGGATGGACTCTTCATTAGGGACTGTAGTGATAGGACAAGGGGTAACGGGTTCAAACTTAAACGGGAAGTTTAGATTGGATATAAAGAAGAAATTCTTTACTGTAAGGGTGGTGAGGCACTGGAATGGGTTGCCCAGGGAAGTTGTGAATGCTGCATCCCTGGCAGTGTTCAAGGCCAGGTTGTACTGAGCTTTGGGTGAGATGGTTTAGTGTGAGATGTCCCTGCCCATGGCAGGGGGGTTGAAACTAGTTGATCTTAAGGTCCTTTGCAACCCTAACTATTCTATGATTCTGTGATTCTAAGATAGGTTGTCCCCCCATTATAAGGCTATCAGGGACTTTCCCTATGTTGTCTAGAAGTAAAAGTGATGGAGAATTTCCAGTGACAAACAGAATACAGATGCTAGGAGATCGTGGGATTGTGAGTAATTGACCTGAGGGCAAGGGGTCTTCTCAGTACCTGATTCAAGGGTGACCTAGTCTAAAAAGCCACCACTTAGGGGCTT